CAGCAGGAGGGTTGGACTAGATGACCCACAGAGGTCCCTTCCAACCCCTACCATTCTGTGATTCTGTGGACATCGCCAGAGGGTTTAACTCGCTCTAGCTCCGCACGAACCTGGTAGAGCACCAGCTTGTTGGGCACTTCCCAGTTCCATTACTGTACACTGCGTTCCAGCCACCGGGGATACAAATGAGACCGTTACAGTAACAGATGCCAAAGGCTCACTACACGCCCGCAAGCTGCCAGCACGCTGAAACAATCAGCAATGAAATAAAGCCTGACCAGAACAAGCACGTCTCATTTGGCTGCAGGCAGGGAAGGTGGTCCTCCAGCTGCATCTTCAGCCCCCAGAGGCCTCTGCCAGTTGGAGAAACAATGCCCAGATGGCAACAGCAAGACATTACGGGCACCCACCCTCCTACCTGAACTGACAGAGCCCAAGCTGGCAACAGCCTTCCTGGCTTTCAAGGCTCTCCTGCCATGTGTGACACGAGTCTAGGAGGTATATTCTGTGGCTTCTGAGAAAGCCTGTCTCACGTTTGAAAAGGGTGTTGGACATTGTTAAATCACACATTAAAAACCCCAGTCAGGATCTTGCAAAAAACGTGTTTGAAAGTGTTGCCAAGGTTATCATGGACGAGTCAGGAATGCTGGCAAGTCATGAGGGCTCAGGACTTGCTTCTCTTCCAAGAAAAACAGGTAAAAGGAAGAGCACCCTGTCATGCGCCCAGAAGGAACGTCCTCCCAAGCCCTTGAAAGGGAAAGGTAGAAGGGTGCCAGTCTGACCAGGGCAAAAGAAGAACAGGAACAAGAAACCAGACTGAACGGCGCAAAAGAAAGGGAGAACCCCTTCTAGGGGAGCTCCTGTTCTACTGCTGGAAAGGAGCAGCAGCGGGCAGGGGCAGGGGCAACCACGGGCCCCGACCCCAGGTGCTGCGCGGAGCTGCCCCAAGTGTCGCCCCTTCCCTACTCTACCGGGAGACCTAGCCAGGCCCCGGCACCCCCCAGCCAAGGGTGGACACAGGAGGGCTGGGTGGGCAGGAGGATTTTTTTTTCCTCCCTGCCCCCAGCTCCCTGCGGCTCCCAGTCCCCCTCCCACCCTCACAGCCCCACTGAACCCCTGCTCTCCCTCCTCCTGCAGGCCATGGCTGCCATAAGGTTTTTTTCCTGGATTTTGCGTAGCCTCATCCATCAGGCACGGATGGTTGGTGAGGAGCTGGATGAGGCCACGCACAAGTGCATGCAGCAGCGTGCTGAGCAGCTGAGCCAGGAGATGACTTGGCTGCTGCAGGAGATTGAGCAGAAGAGCCAGGAGCAGAGTGGCTTTGCCTGGGGAGTCCTGCTCTTCGCTGCCTTGCCGGTGGGGCTCTCGTGGTCATGGTCCCTTTCTCACCTCCACCTCTCCAAGGAAATACTCTGCTTACGATGGCCCAACAGAGCAAGTGACACCAGAAGACAAGCACGGCCAAAGGAAGGAATGGTCAGCACAAGCCACTCACTGGAGCTACCTCACCTTCCTCACCA